AGTAGTAGTAGTAGTAGTAGTAGTAGTAGTAGTATTAAGTAGTAGTAAGTAGTAGTAAGTAGTAGTAAGTAGTAGTAGTGCTAGTAGTAGTAGTAGTAGTAGTAGTAGTACTAGTACTAGTACTAGTACTAGTACTAGTACTAGTAGTAGGAGTAGGAGTAGGAGTAGCAGTGGCAGTGGCAGTGGCAGTGGCAGTAGTAGTCGTAGTCGTAGTCGCAGTCGCAGTCGTAGTCGAGTAGTAGTAGTGGTAGTAGTAGTAGTAGCAGTAGTAGTAGTAGTGGTAGTGGTAGTAGTAGTAGTACTAGCAGCAGCAGCAGCAGTAGTAGTGGCAGGAGTAGCAGTAGCAGTAGCAGTAGTAGTCGTAGTCGCAGTCGTAGTCGTAGTCGAGTAGTAGTAGTAGTAGTAGCAGCAGCAGCAGTAGTAGTAGCAGTAGTAGTCGCAGGAGTAGCAGTAGCAGTAGAAGTAGTAGTGGTAGTGGTAGTCGTAGTCGTAGTAGTAGTAAGGGAGGAGTAGTAGTAGTAGTAGTAGTAGGAGTAGGAGTAGGAGTAGGAGTAGCAGTAGCAGGAGCAGCAGCAGCTGCTGCTGCTGCTGGTGGTGGTGCTGGTGCTGGTGCTGGTGCTGGTGGTGGTGGTGGTGGTGCTGGTGGTGGTGGTCGTTTTAGTCTTAGTCGTTGGTATTGTGTTGCGCGAGCAATACTTCAAATCGTGTCTGTCTTGAAAGCCTCGGCAAGCCTGCAGGAAGCTTCATGGTGTTATTTCGTTCTTGTGGAGAATTGGTGATGCAGAAGATGCCGTATCGGCATGCGTCGGCAGCCGGCGCGCCAGGAATAGCATAATGTCAAGAAGGGCATAGCCGGATTGATGTCCCTGTGGAAGAGGGTGACAATGAGTGTCAGGCGACGACCTTGGCACTGTGAGTTGCATGACTTGGCAAGCGATGAGTTGCCTGAGTTACATACGCAGCCACGTCTTGCATGGCAGTTGGAGTGGCATGACTTGGTGGGAGAAGAAGTGTTTGCACAGCCAATGGTGGTTTTGCTTCTGATGACTGGGGGAGATGGTGGACAAAGCAGAGTGGCTCAAGGTGGGTGGCAAAAGAAAGGCTGTATGATCTGTATGAATCGTACGCCAATACCACAGCAATGAGCGTGAGTGTCGGCTATACAGCCTGCGACGCCTGAGGACATATCCAGCCTTGACTGAGGACTACAACAAGCTCAAGAGACAGACATAGACAGATAGACAGACTGTATTATCTCAAGATTGTTTGTTCTGCTCTATCCAGGACAATTTCCGGCAATAGACCCAGCCTGCAACAGTGGCTTCTACAGGCAGTTTTGACTGTCCGTACTGCTTTCCAATACCCAGCTCTAAAACCCCGAGCCTCAAATTCATGATGGGAACCTCTTAACAGACATCAGAAAACGACGAGTTCATCGACATCGCACGACCGGGGAGGCCTGGTTTGGGTGTGATCGGGCGACATTGCGATGTGTGTTTTCCCTTTTGGGGATAATGTGATATATTGTGATATATTGTGATATGTTATTTGTTTCCCGGTTCCTCAATCCTTCAGCGAATTCCGTCAGGGCTTGGACACTTCGACCGCCCTGCTCCCTCTGCGAGCCCCATCGAAGGTAAGGCGACACCGCATATCAATCTCTCGGAGGACATCTACCTCGGCTTCAACGCAGCTTGGTTGGTCCTGGAAGCTCTGGGAGGGTCGAACCATTTTCGATACGACAAGTTGCCAACCCTTTGAAATCATGGGAACCTTTCTTTTTCGCATTGACTATAAGATACTATAAGATATATAATACTAAGATGCAAGTTCTCTTTGGGTCTTCGCTACCGGGCTGATGAGACGTTTCGGTGATTCTGCTCTTGATTGGTGAGGTGATGGCTTGGTTATATCGGCTGTTCCAACAATTGTGTGTTGGTTTGCAGATGTTCGCCCTTAACATGACCATGGCTCAGGTCAAAAACCGTGGGGAAAAATCCGACCACTTCGACTTCCTGGAGTGGGAGAAAGGCAGAGAGGCGGATGGCAGTGGTTTTCAGGGGGGTGGATGGGCGGAGTATCGACTTTAGGCGCTTTAGGGGTCCAAAGTAACTCGAGCATGCCAAACCTGCAGGACTTTCTGACCAGTCTGCAGCGAGCAGGTCTCCTTCAATGCCGCCAGCACCTTCTTGTACAAGATCTCGGGTGGCAACATCGGTGTGTGGCGCTCCAAGGCGGAGCACTCGATCGCGCTATCGGTCATGGAGGATCAACCCATTCGCGGTCCAAAGACCTGGCGGTTTGAGGTGTTTGGCGCTTTGAGGTGTTTAAACCCTATAGAAAAAAGACCGTTGCCTTGCAGTTTGACATCTGCTTTTTTTTCCAGTTTCTCTTTCCTGGTGAATAGATTTCCCGTCACTCTTTATTCAAGCAAGACACCCAGGAAGACCTCCCAGGGTGTCCGGCCATCAGCTTGAAAGAGCTCAGCAAACATGTGCAAACTAAGACAAGTCCATTGAGAGGAGGTTGGTGGTAAGAGCTTGAAAGGACTTGCGCAAGTGGCTGAACATGCGATGGCGTGCAAGCCAATTGTGGCGCTTGAGGGAAGCTTTTACTTATATAAATACTGATACTGTCGTTACTTACGTACTTATTAACCTAACTGTTCATATACACTTGTTGTATTATAAGTCTATTTGTGAAAGTTCTGATGATGCATGGCATTCAGTTGGCTGTGCATGGATGATCGCCGGATCAAGCCGGCCCGAAAGCCAATGACCTGACTAAGGTCCAGAGCAGTCCGGCCCGCCAAAGGAAGATACACAAGCAAAGCATAACAGAACAGAACATGTTCGACACAAGACACCACATGGCTTGCAGAGGCCATAAAGCACATGTTTCACGACATATACTTTTTCGTGTTCGCATTTGAAGAAAAGGCTGCGTCGCTGCGCTCACTAGCTTTCAGACTGGTGGCGCGGAGCCTAGCAATGGCTGATGGGGGCGGCAAACCCTTTTGGAAAGACGATGAGATCGTCTGCGACAAAGATGGAGTGCCCCACTACACCGGCAGGTATCCCAGCCTCATGAAGGAGTATCGCCGTCGAGTCCTTTTCTGTTTCAACAACCTGGAAGGAGACGGCAAAGACGCAACAGAAGAGGCCAGGGATTTGGAAAAGAAGAAAGCCCGATTCGCAAAGAAGCTCCTGGACGCCCTGCACGGCGAAGCTTGGCGAGCCTGTCAGGATCTTCTGACCAAGGCTGATGAGCTCAAGATGCCAAATGGATACAAGTTGATCTTCGAATGCCTCCAGACCATCGAGAAAGCACCGATCATCCGGAAGACGGAAGCCTTTGACCAGTACTTTGAGAACTGCTTTAGGCGCAAAGGCCAATCGGTGGATGACCACCTCCGGAGGCGGAAGCAAGATTGGGAAGATCTTTGTGATCTGAGTGACAACACCTCAATGAGCGAGGACCTTCGCTCATACTTCTTGCTGAAGAACATCAATCTGGGCCGTGATGACAGGAGATCCATCCTTCTTGCAAACCAGTCGGATGACACCATCGCTGGAATCGAGAAGGCGCTTCGTGTTAGCTACTATGATGTCCATGAGAAGGAGAAGAAACAAAGCTGGCAGCCGAAGCAAGACAAGCCACACCGGCGTGATGGTGGGTTCCGCAAGCGCGGATGGGCTCATTGGGCTGAAGAGGTTGATGATGAGACCGCCGAGTTCGAGATTCAAGAGTATGCCAACTACGACCTCGACGAGAATGACATGGAGCAAGAAGATGATGAAGAGGCCTATCAAGTCGAGGAGGCCTATGAAGTTGAACAGCACTCGGATGAAGGGGCATCACAAGACGAAGATGTCTACAATGCCTATGCAGCCTTCGACAAGATGAGAAAAGGCTACAAGGAGAGCCGTGCCAAGTTGAAGGAGTTGCAGAAGAATCGAGGCTTCTTCCGAGCAGATCTTCGTGGAGAGCTCACCTATGATGAAAGAAAGCAAGCGATCGATAAGGAGAAGCAACGGACAAGATGCGGCACCTGCGGCCACGTCGGCCACTGGTCGGGGGATCCTCAATGCCCTCGAGCATCCAAGTCCGGTCCCAAGAAGATTCAGTCAGGTGCAAGTGGAAGCAACAAGAAAGGCAAGCGCAAGGGCAAGTCCCGTGGCAAGGCCTATTTGGTCGGAGATGAACCTTTGTTGTTTTCGCTGGATGATGATGATGGAGAAGAGACGCATGCAGCCTACATGATTGGCCCTGGGGAGAAGGAGGAAGATCAGATGCAGCAAGATGCCGGGCTCAATGACTTTGATGAACGTCGCAAGACATCGGCCAGTCAGGCCGTGAGCCCACGATCTTCTTCGACTTGGGAGCATGTCGCACCGAATGACATCCCCACAGCTTATGCCGGCACCACTACGATCGCTGGCCCATGGCTTGGTTCAGGTCCACAGCAGGTGGCGGAGATCACATCACAAGTTGATTGGATGGTCCCGGTTGCTTCAGAGAAGATGTCCCTGCTTTATGTCAACAGCTTTCAGGAGGTGATGCCAGACACGCCAATCATGGAGATGAAGGCCCGTGAGCTGCAAGCAGAATGTGAGCATTGGAACCTCCAGACATCCGGCACCAAGGCACAGATGCAAGATCGTTTGAACAGCTTCTCCGAGGAGATGCAGTTTTGAAGAAGGGCAGCTCAAGTCGCTATGTGAGGTTGGTCACCGAGGCCCCAAGGCCGAAGTCCGTGGTACAGCCAGCTTCACCCAAGAGGATGCCAATGTCAGCCAGTTCGGCACCCAACTCACCGGCACCAAGTTCCAGCGTTCCCCATGGCAGTCCGGCATCAGTTCGAGTCACCACGGCAGTCCGACTGCACGGAGGAGGCCTGGAGGAGGAACCGCAGAGCCAAGGACTGATTCTCCCAAAGTCCAAGTCGCCAATCTATGTCGACGCCACTGCCGCTACCACTTCGACTACATCCATTGCCCCAGGACACCAGAGGTACACTGTTGGCGGGACTTTTCGCCAAGATCCTCGCTCAGGTATTCCAATCCCTACGGGCATGGCAGTGGGAAAGGCGACCATGGAGGTCACGTGTCCGATCTGTGAAAGCGCTATGGTTCTTCGCGCGAACCGAGTTGATGGTGGTCTTTTCTTTGGTTGCAGCCGTTTTGGAAAGCAGGAATGCACTGGCACTCGACGATTTGATGAGGTGGTGCGGCCGGCATCACAGTATGGCCACCGGGCATAGCCCGGCAAGTGCATTCAATGGCAGCAACAATGTATCACCGCCATTCCTGGCAAGCGCTTTCATGAACCGGGATGGTGAGCATGAGCCGAATTCGATCCTTGAGCCCAATGCCAAAGACTTCGAAGCGAACACGATGAATTCACTGCATGATGAAGGTGGGCACGACTATGATGATGGTCCACAAGATGAGTCACGACTTTGTTTGCTGGATTCCGCATGCACGGCCTGCATGCACAGCCGGAGGTGGAGACAAGCCTATGAGCGAACACTTCCGGCAGGCCTCAGCTGCAAGAAGACAGATCAAACTAAGGTGTTCCACTTCGCCAACGGAGCATCTACCGAGGACAGAGTTGCTGTTTGGGAGATTCCCATTTTTCTTGGAGGTCGTAGAGGACAGGTATACAGTGCTGAACTTCCAGAAGGTTCTACACCGCTGTTGCTTTCCATTCCTGCCATGACAGCATTGGACATGACCCTCCAGATGAAGCAACGCAAGGTTCTTGTTCAGTCGCTCAACATTGAACTTCCCATGTTTGTCACCAAGACAAAGCACCTCGCAGTTGAAGTGGCGTACAAAGAAGGTTCAACAATTCCAGAGCTTTCGATGGAAGCAGCCCCTTCTGTGATGTCTGACAAACGTGACCTTATGGTTTACTACAGTGAGGAAGCAGAGTTTCCTTTGTTGAGCGAGATGGCCGATGTTGAGGTCTCCATGTTCTCCCGCAGCAAGGACAAGCAGCAACCAACTCTTGGAGCACGTGGCATCTTGAACAATGATGCAAGAGGCCAGCTGTCTGAGAGAAGAGCGAAGGAGTTGCAAGCAAAAGCTCAGAAAGCGCAAGCAGTTGATTCTCGCACCTGGGCAGCTTTGAAAAGACAGTACAGTCTTGCAGAGCAATGGGCGACCAAATCTTTTTCCACCACAGTTCTCTTCGAACCTTTTGGAGGGAATTTTGGAGTCACAAGAGTAGCATCCCATGTTCACGGATGGACGAACAGCCAACCGCTGGATCTCATGGATGGCTATGACATCATTTCCCCTGGACGCCAACAGCTGTTGTGGAAAGTTTTGGAAGAACATGATCCCTACATGGTTCTCATCGCCTTCCCATGTACTTTCTGGAGCTTGTTGTGCAACCTCAGCCAAGGTGTTGACTGGGGAAAGTTGAGGAGAACATTGGGTCGAGCAACATTGCTTTTGGTCGTGCGCATCTGTGTTTTTCAGCACCGCAGAGGACGTTTCTTTTTGCTAGAGAACCCAGCCGGGTCTATGGCGTGGGTATTTGAGAAGATCATTGCAAAATTGTTTGTTCTTACAGATGGTGTTTACACCACAGGCGATCAATGCAGATATGGCAAAGTTGATCTGGAAAGTTTGAGGCCCATCAAGAAACCAACGGGATGGCTCAGCAACAACCAGTTTGTCCTCAATCAACTGGGTCGCAAGTGCACATGTCGTTGGGGTTCACACCAGCAAGTTTTGGGGAGCAACCAATTTGGTTCCAGAGCTCTTCAAGCAGCAGCATACCCTGAAGGCCTCAGCCGGGCGATTTGCTCCGGCATTCTCATGAGCATGAAGTTTGAGTACAGCCTCGCCATGTCTTACAAAGCAGGTTCACACAGCTTTGTCTCCTTTGAACTTGCCTTCCCAGCTCGTGATGAGGTGGATGTTGATATGGAGGAGGCAGATCGGGAGGAGGTCACCAGGGAAGATGCGCAGCATGACAAGTGGACGGTCATTCAACCAGATCGTCTCATCCGAGAGCATTTTGTTCCAAGGTTGAGACTTTTCATGCCGGCAGCTTTGACAGAGCCACCCATTCCGATTCACCGGATCTTGCCCGGGAGACGAACTGTTGCCAAGTATTTGAACCACAACAGTGAAGTTGTTGACAATGAAATTTATGATGATGAATGGGCAACAGGTGGTGTGAGGTCTATGTATCGTACATGGGTGGGCCACACAGAGTTTCGTTTCCAGCCAGAGGAGCTTCAAGAGCGTTTTCAGCCTGTTGCAATGAACCAACCTTCACAACCGGAGCTTGTCGATTTTTCTCCCTTGACGCCGGCACCGGCGACACCTGCACCTGGCACACCAGGTATTCTGCAGAGGAGAAGGGCGCGTACCCGACAGCTGCAACGTGGCTTCTGGACTGAGATTGAGAGTCCGGATGTGGTTGATCTTTTGGAAAGAACTTCAGAGCACATACTGGAGCAGGGAGCTGGCGATTGGACACTTTTGGATCCCAATAGCGATCTTTTTACAGAGTGGCAATCCCATGAGTCAGCAAACGCAGATGTTGTTTTAGCTCTCTGTTCACACCGTGCCAAGAGGATGAAGAAACCTCAACCACATGCAGGTCCAGCAGATGTTCCAGTGCGTCGCTCATACCTTTTGTTGGCAGGTGGAGAAGACGGCAAGCAAGGTCTGAGCACAGACTGGGAGGATTGGGCACAGATGGCACCTTCGTCACAACAGCGTCCACTTGTTGGTACACACCGTGTTTTCTACATGGTTTTGTATGGCAAGCCTGCAGGTGAAGCTGATGATCAGAAAGGTGACAAGTTTTTGCAACAAGAGCTGGAGCGAGAACGGAAGTGGCAAGTTTTGCCGCGAGAGCTGAAGCTAGCATTGAGGCGTGTTCACATCAACTTGGGCCATGCAAGTCCCCAGGCTATGATGAAGGCATTGCGCATTTCACGTGCATCAGCAATGGCTCTGAAAGCGTGCAGGTTGTTTCGATGTGCAGATTGTCCATGCCTCAAAGTGCCAAAGCTCCCACGACCTAGCAAGCTACCCGTTGCAGATGAGTTCAACACACACGTTGGAGTTGACATTATTTCTGAAAAGGATAGCACTGGTCAGAGTTGGCAATGGCTCAACATCCTTTGTCAAGGTACAAGTTTTCAGGTTTGCATCCTCCTCGGCGACACCAACATGAATCCTACAGGGAAGGCAGTTCTTGCAGCTTTCCACCAAGGCTGGACGTCTTGGGCAGGTTTTCCGGAAGTTGGAGTGATAGCCGACAGAGCAAAATACTTTTTGTCTAGCTTCGCTGAGGACATGGCCGACCATGGTTGCAGATTTGATACAGCAGCAAAAGCATCACCTTGGCAGATAGGGATGATTGAGCGGCATGGTGGTTTGTGGAAAGAAACTTTCAGACGCACAGCCTGGAGTCAACAAGTTGCTGGAAAGGATGAGGTTTTAGCAACAACTTCAGCAACCAATGCCGCTAAGAACAGTCTTTGCAGAAAAGGAGGTTTCAGCCCAAACCAATGGGTGCTGGGGAAGGACATCAGACTTCCCGCTTCGCTCGTCGATGATGATGAGGTCAACAGGATTGGTTCTCTTGCTTTAGCAAGCACTCCTGGCACCAAGTTCCATCGCAAGCATCAACTTCGCATGGCCGCGAGGCAAGCTTGTACAGCAGCTGCAAACTCAGAAGCCCTGAGGAGAGCCGAACTTCGACAGGTTCGACCACATCGCGGACCCTGGCTTCCAGGCATGTACTGTTTTTACTATGATGGTGCAAACAAAGATCCTGGTCCTAGCAATTGGAGAGGTGTGGCTCGTGTCATTGGTTCAGAGGGCAGTCATACAATTTGGATTTCACACAGAGGCTTGTTGTTGGCCGTGAGTCCTGAGCACTTAGCCCGAGCTTTTGACCAAGAGGTTCGGCAATGGGCAATCGTTGATCAGGAGCGTGAGTTGATTGACGCAATGCCTGCAGCTGGTGGAACAGGGTTCATTGACCTTCGGAAAACTCCATTACCACCTGCACTCACCGAAGGCGCAATAGCAGATGTGCCAGAAAGTCAGCAGGAGGATGACGATATGGGCATTCCGATTGAAGGTCCTGAGCAGCCGCCACAAAGAGCCGAAGAACCTTCCAGTGAGGAGCAAGCAGCACCTGCGCCAGTGGAGAATGTCTCTTCGGAAGACCTCAGTGCAAGCTCTACATCCATGGCCCGGATGAAGCTGGAATCTGACAGAGATCAGAGAAGAATGTTGAAGAGCAGCGAGTTCTTCGACAAACGAGCTCGTGAGAGAAGGGAAGCTCGTGAAAGACGACAATCCGATTTCGAAGAAGCTGAACGACTTCGTGAACAGCAGAGACAAGCAGAGGCAACACCTATAGAAGAAGATGTTTTTGATGAGGAGCTTCACGACTACCACCAGAGTCGACCGACCCGACAGTTGACACCAGTCGTGGAGGACCCAGCTGCAGAGGCAAATGAAAGAGAAGCTAAACGCTTGAGAGTGTCTGAGGATAGTCCTGAGACCGCCAACTTCGTCGATGCAGCAGACAAAATTCCTTTTGCTTTCATGGCCACCGAACAAGAAGGTTTTCTTGAGGAGACGGCATATGCCTACTACATGGACAGGCAGCTGGCCTATGAAGGCCTTGGTGTTAGTTTGGACACTTTCATTTTTGGCATGCGGCGCAACGACTTCTACGAGCGCTACAAGTCCATGCAGGAGCACGCCATGCAAGGCACAGCTCTGAGTGCCCCAGACACCAAGAAGAAAGGAAGAAAAGAAGTGAAACTTCATGAGTTGAAGCCCGAGCTTCGTCGAGAGTTCACCAAAGAAGGAGGCTCAGATCAACGAGAGTGGGATGCTTGGAAATCCAAAGAAGCCTGCGATGTTTTGAGCCCAGATGAGAGTCGCAAGATTCAGCAAAACAGCCCAGAGCTCATCATCTCCACAAGATGGGTTCGCACAAACAAGAATGATGGTTTGCAAAACAAAGAGTTTTTAGCAAAGAGCAGACTTGTTGTACTGACGCTCGTACAAGGGTTCAAAGACCGGTCCCTTGGACATTTCAGGCGGGGTGCACCAACAGCTTCAGCAATTGCAGAGTCGATTGTTTTGGCAATTTGTGCCTACCTCGGTCTGACCTTGTTTGCCAAAGATATCAAGAACGCCTATTTTTCTGGACGCAGTTTGGAAAGAGAGGTTTATTTGTCCCAACCTCGTGGAGGCTTGCCCGGCCTTCAAGAAGGCCAACTCCTGAGAGCTCGAAAAGCCATTTACGGTTTTGCAGAAGCTGCGCGAATGTTTTGGCTTGCTTTGAGGGAGTACCTCATTTCAGATGGCTGGCAGGAAAGTCGTTTGGAGCCCGCTTTGTTTTATTTGAGGCAAGGCAACAAGCTTCGTGGAATCCTGGTCAGTCACGTAGATGATCTTGAGGGAGGTATACAGCCTGATATGTTGGAGACAGCTTTTTCAAAGTCCTCACAAGCACTTGAATTTGCTACCAACCACTACAAAGACTTCATTTTCCGTGGCAGGGAGATTCACCAGACTCCAGAACGACATGTTGATGTCAGCATGAAGAACTACGCTTTGAGCATGAAGCCGGTCCGCATCGAAAAGCACCGTCGGCAGCAGCTTGATTCAGAGCTGACAAAAGAAGAACTCGACCTCCTACAGAGTTCAGCTGGCGAGCTCGGGTGGATCACCCGGCAGTTGAGGTGCGACCTGGCCTTCGAGAACGGCGTGATTCAAAGATGCAAGACAGAAGCTTGCATAGCTGACCTTGTTCGCTTGAAGCAATATGTTGGACAAGCTCGACGAGGCGCCAACTTTAGACTTCGATACTGGAGCGATGTGAACTTGAGTGAAGCCGTGGTTGTGCATTTAGCCGATTCTGGTTTTGCAAATGGCAGCCCTGAGCACAATGGCCTTCTTCGCTACCGCTCGGTGGGAGGCTACTTCATTCTCCTTGCCAACAAGGAGATACTTCAGGGACAACCTGCAAGATGCAACATGATTTGTTTTCAGAGCAGCCAAACCAAAAGAGTGTGTCGCAGCACGCTAGCAGCTGAAGCCAGTCACCTAGCAGAAGCGGTTGAAGCTGGAGATTGGGTAACAGTTGTTTTGGAGGAGGCTCTGACCGGAGATGTTGATCTCCGGAATTGGCAAAGTGTGATAGAAAGAAGGGAAAGGGTCTATGTGACCGATGCAAAGTCGGTTTACGACTATCTGCGTAAGGACGCCACAAGCACCAGCACTGACAAGAGGATGGCAATAGAAGGTGCACTCCTAAGGGAGACCGTGAGAAAGCCCAAAGCAGATGTCAGATGGATCGATGGAATGCAAAACATAGCAAATGTTTTGACCAAGCACAATGCCGAGAAGGACACCCTTCGAGAGTTTCTGAGGACAGGCCAAATGTCGCTGACGCAGACAGAGGCCAACCAAAAGTTGAAAGAGAAAAGACGCCAAGAGCGCCAGAGCAGAAGTGAAAAGAAAAGAAGTTTCAAAGAAACCAACAAAGAAGCTGATTTGAAGCAGAAAAGGACTGCAAAGGCCGAAGCCATTCGACCTGGAGAGGCCGATACAAGTGAAGAAGATGATGCACAGCCAAAAGAAAAATAATCAGTGTGAAAGTTCTGATGATGCATGGCATTCAGTTGGCTGTGCATGGATGATCGCCGGATCAAGCCGGCCCGAAAGCCAATGACCTGACTAAGGTCCAGAGCAGTCCGGCCCGCCAAAGGAAGATACACAAGCAAAGCATAACAGAACAGAACATGTTCGACACAAGACACCACATGGCTTGCAGAGGCCATAAAGCACATGTTTCACGACATATACTTTTTCGTGTTCGCATTTGAAGAAAAGGCTGCGTCGCTGCGCTCACTAGCTTTCAGACTATTTTATATTAACCAAGTCCCGGAATCATGCTTGGTTCCTCGCCCGAAATGATCCGTTGGTCACTTTCGTGCCAGCTTCAATGTAAAACAGATAGAACCACAGGTGCCTATCAATACATCCACTTTGTAGAAAGATTCCTGTCCTTTTTGTAGCTGGACCATTTTCCTACCCTCAACCATCCCAAGGTATAGGTTCGTTACGTTGACCTTTGGACTTCAGGAGCCGCAGGCTTTGGTCATGTATTCCATGTGCAAGTGGGCTTTGGGGTTAACCTATATGTGTGTTCGCCATGCCCACATGCGTAGAGTATCTTGCAGGTTTTTACAGTGGTTTCAGAGTGCATTCGCACCCCTGCATGTCTTCTATATGGAGGTCCATATAAACCACCCATTTGTGCCATCTACTCTCCATCCACCTGCCATGAGTTTCTCCATTTCCTGTCGCCCTCCTGTGAACTGGACAGGACCTCACGGAGAGTGCAATGGTACTGCCGACGGCGGGGTTCGAGTGCGGAGCGGGGGTGACCGGGGTCGTTCACAACTCCTGTAGTGGAACATCAAGAACTCCAAGATTGATGCATCAAGAAGTATTGTTTAACTTTTGTGTGCAGCTTATCGAAAAAAATAAAGGGACTCTTGTCTAGGCTACCAGATTCACATCATCGCACCTTTGAATCTGATTTCATGCACTGGCATAGTAGGCTATCGGCATTAATAACCGGACACAACCAAACGTGTCCATGCATATATATATATATATATTTATAGAATAGCCACATGTTTCTGTTTATGGTATGCACGTGTTTCTGAGTCGATTCTAACTTCCTTCCTGGCACATACCATGAGAGTCACTCGAGCTGCAAAAACCGAGGTGTTCTGCCCTTGAGGACCCAGACGGAAGCATTCCACTTCGAAGTGTGACCCCTTTTGGTCTCAGGAACCCTATAGGTTTTGTGGGCGCAGATCCAGGTGGATCATCACCACTTGGATCATCGTCGTGTTTGTTCACCGCTGGACAAAAACACATCTCCGACACGAACGATCACGTCGTCTCAGATCGATTTGTTCTCCTTCTACTTTGCCACCGTGGGTTACTTCGTGTCCTTGACCGTCATCGCCGGGATCCTCAGGGCATCGGCGACCGGTCGGCCACCGCCAGCGATGCCTTCATGAAGACGTTGTCCACGTGTTGTTTTGAGGAGACATTCAGAATCAGGATTGGTGGGCGGGGTATGATTCTTGCACCCCTGATCAAGTCATTTGGGTCTGGGTAAAAAGTCCAGCCATTGCTCCACTTCACTCTGTTGAACTCTGTTGACTAGGCCCATGGACATAGGCTGATGAGAAACGTCCTTTGCAACATTATGCTACGTCCTCGTAGCATCTCGCATCACGTGGAAAGCCAGCTGAGCCAGTACGTGGATTCTGAAATCAATTATTCATTGCTTATATGTTGTCTTGTTTTTGGGGTGTCCCTAATTGTCAAACACCATAATGGTACTTGTTGAGCGAGCGGCCTGATGCAAAATCACTTTGATGGAATTTGCACAGCACGTTTGCAATATGATGCAATATACTCGTTCTCTCAGAAATATTTTTGGTGCGCGTGAACGAGGCCATGGCTGTTGGTTAGGAGACCAGCCTGAGCAAAGCCTGAGCGTGACCTACGTTCAAGCTAGCTAATATGTCCACTTGTTGCATGTTGTCCTACGAGTACCACGGGTTACAAAGAAGCCATTGACACTAGATCAACTTGACGTCACCACAAAAGACCTGCTTATAGGGACCACTGCGAAAACCAAGAGATGTCTTCACTGGGCCGACTCTTCCCAAGGCTTCACTGCCGATGACTTGTGCAAGACCGATCGTGTCATGACATGTAATGTAGACACTTGATTTCATTACAACAAATCTCTATGAACAGGTCGTTCAATCCAAATGGGGTTTGTTTAGAGGACCATGACCATGTACTTCTCTTGTCTATAGACACTTGTTAACCCCTCAAGAGTGACGTACTTTGGGACCATGTACTGAGGACATGACCATGTACTTCTACGTGGGCTTCCACTTGATGCTCACCATGGCCTCTGTCTCGCTCCACGAGCCTCCTGGTGAAACGACACCGGGCGACCTGGTGCGATGACTCGTTTCACCACTCGTTTTGGTTCATTTCTTTGTGCGATGCCCACAGGTGAGACATGAGACTCAAAGAGTGGGAAACACTTGGTGATTTCTGTTTGATTTCTTTGTTCTCATGTGGTTAGCTTCTGAGTGCGGGGCGTCAACTAGAAACCAGTCGGATGAATATCTCATCGGTTCAGAATCAGAAGGTATAATTTCAGATGCAGAGACTGACTGGTTTCGGCAAACATGTGCAAACACAAATTAAAACTATATATGTTATATAAAACAATGCACGACCTCCAATTGGTTCAACAACTCACGTTGCTTCATGTTTCTGAGAGTATTGTATACAGCCACGGCTTCCGCGGTGAACCCGTGAACCGGAACCGCCCGAGAACGGCGCGCGCGGCGAGAACTGCGCGCTGAGCTTTTCATTGGAAGTGGCGGGTAGGGGGGGTCACCCGAGGCAAGACCTCCTGTGATCGGTGGGTTTGCCTCATGTGAGGTCATTATTAAAAGACCGTCATGGACCTCATGTGTTCAGGTCCAATGGTCCAAAAAGCGGAACAGGTTGGGCTTCTTGGGTTTGCACACCCTTTCTCGCTTCGGGTCGTTCTCTTGGGCAAAAAATGGATGCACACGTAGGTCTCCGTCCGATCCGATGCCCGAGGCTGGGGACCTTGGGCACCACGATGTCGGTGGAGTGGATCCTTGGACCGGGCTTCTTCATGTGAGCCGAGAAGTCGGAGACGTCGCCACTGAGCGGAGGGTTACACGATCTCTCGGAGGGTTTCTGATCGTGTTTTCCTTTTTGCCCGCGGCTGAAATGGAAGTGATTGGAAGTGACCAGGTGCAAAATGGTGATTGGGTACCACAGCTACTATGTGAAAAAAATCAAGGGCCAAAAGTCGAGAGATCAACGGAAGCTGAATCTGTTTGAATTGGTCCGAGATAGGTCAGATAGATAGGTTCGGTTGAGACTTGAGGCGATGACCACATATCTCAGTGGTCGTCGCTTGTGCCCGTGCTTTTTGGAATCCGGGAACATGTAGAATTGACTCAGCAACAAACCTGGACGAAGGCCAGAAGCAACAATTCAAAACATTCAACCATCATGAGGTCAAAAGCGACCCACCAGCTACTTTCAACTCCAAGGCTCAGGCTCAGTTGAGAAGACACAGATCATAAACAATCATAGACTACAACGTCGTTTTTCGCACCGTTTTTCGCACTTAGTACAGATTATATCAAAGAGGATACCCAGACACTCCATGTATGGTGTATACAATACATATACATCACGTAGGATCAAACATTGATCCCCAGACCACCCCAACTGATCGGCATAGTAATACCATACCATTGAGTGTTTGGGATGGGCTCAACTCCAGCTCCCGGAGGTTGGAGGCGACATGCGCTTTTTAAGGGCCCAAACCAAGCACCACCGTCCTTTTTTGCTGAAATCAGAAGAGGTGCTAAGCTGCTAAGTCATGTGCAAAAACTCAATTTGGTTTCTTTTCTCAGAAGTTTCTGGAGCTGAGACGTGCCTCTTCCAACTCTTATGACGAAGGTATACGAAGATATATAGTGAACAGCCCGCCACTACTACCAACAAGTCGGAGGGTTGCATTGAAGCTGTACACTCAATATATGTGTTTGTATGTGTTTGTTTACACTAGCATTAGCAAACAATGGCTGGGCTGAGCTGTGAAGAGATGCCTTGAAGGCAAAAAAGAAATGTGTGCCCAAGTAACCAGTAACTCAAGGGCCATTCTGGCACCAAGGCCCAATGTCCAACTGCACTGAGCTCATAGCAAAGTATGTGTGAATTCAACCTGGTTGCCTACTCATTTGCACTGAAGCTGATTGAGTTTACGAGCACCAGTTGAGTTTGTGAAATGTAACTGCACCAGGCGGTGGATTGCAAGGGTTTTATTTGTTCTATGTTTGGTGGGAGGTAGTTGTCCAAAAAGCTATGTGGAGTCCACCCTACCAGCTGCTTCACAGGGGTAACCCATGGACAACCCTATGCCGCTACGACCCTTGCAGGTTTCCATTGGATGCCCTGACAAGAAGCGCTAGATACGGGTCCTACAATCTTAGGTTGGAGGCCATCGCTCTTAGGAGCGATCGGAAGCTACTAGTGGGCTCCTGGCCTTACTACTAGGAGCAAGGACGCTACTAGGGGCTCCTGGCATCGCTACTAGGAGCGATCGTACGCTCTTAGGTTGGAGGGAAGAGACTGAATACAAGAGTTGAATAAGATTAACTCGAAAGTTAATTCTTCAGCAACAGCCCCCATTCAATGCGCCAGCCTCAAAGGATCAACTTGGGAGTTGATTCTGCCAGCTGTGCCAGCAGCCCAAACCAAGAATTAACTTCTGATTTAATTCTTTTTAAAGAGTGTTTGGCCATTTCCCTCTCTCCCTCTCTCTCTCTGCCTGTCTGTCTTTCTATCCTTGTCTATCTTCCTA